TGGTGAGAATTGTCTGTGTGTTTTCTGATAAGGAATGGTTGGTTTATTGTTTGAAAAATGTAGTGTTATCTAGCAGTATGTCGTGTCTAACTCCGACCAGCAGAGGGCGCGTTTGCTACACTGTGTTGGGGACAAAGAGAAGTCTCGCGTGAATACGTTCAGAGAACGTAAACACACACTTGAGTGAAGTCACGAGAGGCTTCTCAATACTCAAATTTCCCCTCCTCGACTCCTCGGTCCTCGGGTAGTGACCCGGAAATGAATTTCAGCGCGCCATTTTGAAGGACATCTCATTTCTCTAAATGCACACCGAGGATCGAGCGTCGAGGAGGCTCTCTGGAGGAGCTCTAACCGAGGATACACTGATGGTTCCTCCACGGATGCATTTCCGGGAACGATGGAGGCGTGACGCACGGCCGGACTTATCTCAGCCAATGACAGCTATGCATGCATCCCCTGGATATTATTTTAGAAACTGCTTTCATCGCGTTGCGATGTTTCCAGAGAGAACAGCTGTAACGGAGCCTACACACGGCGGCGTGCGTTGCCGCTTCAACGCTTCTGCCCATTCACTTTAAATGGGGTGACGTCGCGATTCGCCGAACTGCATTGTGGGAGCAAAGCGTAGCTTCTCTCGCGGTGCTCGCTGCAAAAGTAGAGCAATGTTCTACTTTTGCCGCCTCGACGGAGGCGTCAGCCAATCAAATCCCGCGTATGCAAATCTGACATTACAAGCGCTAGCCAATCGAACCGCGTGTATGTTGGGAGAGCCAGACCGCAGTTATTTCCCATGTCAAAAAATGGAGGAGAAAATGATGGTGGCGGTACTATATGACCAGTCCCTCTTTACATACAGGCAGTGGCGGCGGGTCATTAGGGGCAGGTGGGGCACAGCCCCACCTAGTGTCAGAAGAAAGTATTACAAATAATGATTACAAAAAAATACTAAAAAATAAATAAAAAAACATATAAAATATATTTAAGGTCATGTTTAATAATCTGATTCGTCTGTACATTTCTGTTTTAGTCTGTGTTCTTCTAATTAGTGTCTAGAGTGCCGTTTTGAGCTGTTTAGAGCCATGTGGGACAAAACCCGATCCTGCCCCTCCCTCTCACAGTCTAAGTGAACGGTGATTGTAAAAACTACACTGCGCATGCTCAGAGTATTTTTCTATTTAATGTGTGTGGCAAAAAAATAATGACCGTAGGGGCATAGTGCTCCCATCCCCACCATACGTCATCTCACATAATTCAGAATTGATTGGCTGTAAGTACTCACGTGTGCAGTGCTGCGAAACGTCACGTGTAGTTTGAAGAGGAGACGAGAGAGCAGCATATAGCTGACATCACCAGCGATTAAAAGAAGTAAAAAACTGAAAGAAAATGAATGAAGTTGACCATTTACTGGAGCACACATTTGAGACACTTAGTCTCGGAGAGAAACTGGAGGTAAAGCGCCTCGGTGCCCACCATCCACCGGATTTCCAAATGGTCCAGACTGCGGGCAAAGTTAAACGTGGGTTTAACGCTGAGTGGTTTGCTAAAAATAAATGGCTAACGGCGAGCATCCAGAAGAATTCCCTCTTTTGCTTTCCTTGCCTGCTTTTTGGTGAAGATCAAGGTACTTGGTCGAGGACAGGTTACAAGGACTTAAAGCATCTTTCGGAGAGGACAATGAAGCATGAGAGCAGCAACAGTCATTTGGAAAATGCCGTAAAATTGGGATTACTTGGAAGGGTGAATGTTGCAGCTCAGATTGACAGCGCCTACAGACGCGGCATTGATTCTCATAATAGGAAGGTGGAAGAAAACAGGTACGTGCTTGGTCGGATCATCACCTGTATTAAACTGTGTGGGAAATGTGAGACAGCACTGCGGGGCCACAACGAGTCGGCGGACTCTCTGAATCCAGGGATATTCAGGTCAATTTTCGAGACAATGTGTGAGGGCGATTCCAGGCTTCAACGGCACTACGAAGCTCAGCTTGTTTTCAAAGGGACATCAAGCACCATACAGAATGAACTCTTGGACTGCATGTATGATGTGTACAGGGAGGAAATAGCCAAGCAAGTGGACAACACATCATTTGTTGCCGTTCAGGCCGACGAGACAACCGATGTCTCCTGTAAATCGCAAATGGTGATTGTGCTGCGATACATTATGCCTGACCTCACAGTTACAGAGCGTTTTTTGGAGTTTGTGGAAGTAAAGGACAAAACTGGTGTAGGTCTCTCTAACAGCATCAAGGCTATTCTGGAACCCCTGAAGCTGAAAGAAAAGCTAATCGCTCAGACCTATGACGGGGCGGCCGTCATGAGCGGTAACGTGCGCGGGGTACAGACGGTGATGAAGGAGACGTACCCAAACGCTCAGTTTGTTCACTGCTACGCCCACCAACTGAACCTGACCCTGCAGCAACTGTGTTCAGCAAGGATGAGCATCCTGAAGGTGTTTTTTTGCAGATCTAACTGCTTTTTCCACTTTTTTCTCCGGTGCTCCAAAACGTGTTGCAGCTCTTGCAGAGGCAACACAGAGACGCATCCCACGGCCACCGGCTGTGAGATGGAACTTTAAAAGCAGAACTGTGAACGCGGTTTGGGAGACCCGAGATGCACTACTTCAGTGTATGAAGCATATACGCGCACAACCAGGATGGGATGCGGTCACCATAAGTGAGGCATACGGCCTGTCAAAGAAACTGCGGGACCGAGCATTTATGCAGCTCCTGGAGTTTTTTTCGTTGCTTATGCCAGAAGTGGATGTTCTATACAACACTCTGCAAAAACGAAGCATCGATGCACCTGGGATCAACAGCGCGCTCTGTCGTTTCAAGGAAAATGTTCAGAAAATGAGGCAGAAAACTGATGCATTGGCCGCCACTGCTCATGATGGAACAGACGAGCCAGGCCGACGAGTCAGCAGCACAGCGCCGGTGATGAAGGAGGCTTGTGACACAGTCATCTCACAGGTGGAACAGAGGTTCTCACAGAGTGACCATTTGATCGCTGCAAAGCTTGTTGACAGCTCATTCTTCCCACAGCATGTCCTGTCATTTCCTACACCTGAGCTTGACTGCGCCGTGAAACTGTGGCCTGCGTTGGGAAACAAGGAGAAGTTGAAGTCTGAGCTGACCACGCTCTACCGCCACAGTGAGCTTCACACTGGAAACACTGCCCTGTCTCTGTTGAAATCCATTCACGAGAACAACTTGGAGGAAACGTTTGCTGAGACTGTTATTTTGGTCAAAATAATAGTGACAACTCCGATGACGACATCCGAGTCAGAGAGGAACTTTTCCACCCTCAAAAGGATAAAGACTTTCACTCGCAACACCATGGGACAGCCGCGACTTAACGCATTGGCCATGCTTTCAATTGAAAGCCAGTTGATCCAGCAACTACAGGACTTCATCCCCAAAGTGATAGACACATTCTGTCAGAGGAAGGACCGCCGTGCCGCTTTTCTTTTCAAGTGAGCCTTCAGCTTTGGTAAGTTCATTTATGTCATATATTTTGTTGATCTTCTGTGTTTTGCCTCTGCTGGATCGATTGATATTGTGACCTCGATGATGAGTGTCTGTGTTTTCCTTATATTTACAGTCTATGGTGTTTTAATGCTAAAGCATTACGGTTGTTGTTATTGTTAAGAATTACTTTGTGATGGTGACCTTTACTCCATGTATGAAGGTGCATTACTATGACATCCCCACGCTGTGTACGTAAATGTATGCGCTCACAGTGTTGCTCCTGTGGTCTTCAGTATGTAATTTGACACTCCCCCTCTCTCTCTCCTCCCCCCCTCTCTCTGTCCCCCCTATCTCTCCTCCCTCTCTCTGTCCCGCCCCTCTCTCTCTCTCTCTCCCGACCTCTTTCTGCCCCCCCAGTTTTGTACACCTAGAAACGCCACTGCATACAGGGATACAAACCGGAGGAGCCAGGCATGGGGGGAGGTGGCAGTGAGTGAAACTGGTAGGTGTTCGCCTGTTTGGGGAGTTTATAGCCAGTGTACTTCGTTTGAATGGACAGCTAGCAAGCATAGACAGTATATTTAGCCAGCATGGATGTAGCTTGAATGCTTTGCTTTGTATGTCCGGGGCGGGACATTCATGTGATTGGTTGTTGGTCGCGTTGTTCGTAAAAAATCCCCAAGCTTCAGACACGCCCACCGCCAAGCGGTAACGCACGCCGCCGTGTGTAGGGGCCGTAAGGTCCATGCAGAAAGCAGAGCAGTGTGTATAATATATATCACTCAGTATAACAGGCCTACTCTCTTTATTTGCTTTAGTTTAGTAGATATCTACAAACAAAGAGTCGATATTTTTCTAAGACCATTGCTTCACATAATAAAATACACAACGGCTTATGCTTTAGGAGCTGTAGGTGTGTGTGGTACAGTGTGTAGGTGTGTGTTGTACAGTGCGTAAATGCGGCGGACAGACGGGTCTCAGTTGGTTTGGTGTCCTCTGCTTACTTTTAATAGGCCTACTTGTAAATACAACTTTTGGCCCGTAATTTCAATTCCCCATTTCAGCGACCAGAGAGAGGGGGGGATATATCCAGTCTCTGATTGTGTTACGTTATTATGAGAGTGCTCTCATACTTTAAATTGTATAAATATATTTGTGTGTGTGTGTCCGCATCTGTAGCCTGTTATTGTCTCATTATACCGCACTCTCAATGAATTCAAAGTAAATATGTGGGGGAACAATGTTCAGCTGATCTAACAGAGATACAGCGCTATGACAAAACACTCGACAGCTGATGCAGCTGATGCAGCTGTTGCCACGTAATAATGAACGGACGTCTCTTTAAAATGACCGCTCAGAGGAGAGGAGTTCTCATTTCTTTAAACGTCTGTTGCTTCCTTTCCTCGGTTCCCCTCCTCGGTCCTCCGCTCGCATCTCCTGTGGGCGGGTCTAAGTCTCGAGGAGGGGAACCAAGGAGGGGACATTTGAGTATTGAGAAGCCTCTACGGTGTGTGTGTGTGTGTGTGTGTGTGTGTGAGTGGCGAACTGTGATAATAAGATATATATTTTTGCTCTTTGCAGGTAAGAACGGAGAGTTGGAATTGTGTAATTGATGAGTGAATATGTTATGTGTGAGTTTATGATCCCGGTTGGACTTTATGTAGTAGTGTTTATGAACGTTACTTGTTCAGCAAACGTAACGTACTGAAAATGGCTAGCCAGTAGTTAGCACTGGTGGCCTAGTTAGCTTGAGCGAGCGTGAGGCGGGAAAGTAGAACTATGAGCCGGTCTAAAGAGCCCGGACTGCTCGTGTATAGTTAATAGATAAATAAATAAGTTAAAAGAGATACATAATTGATTTGGTTAATGTGACAATGTTAGGTAGACATGATTGGCTGACTGTATCAGAGCAACAAATTGATATTGAATGTACAAGATGAAACTGGTCTGGAATAGCAATGCAACAGACATGATTATTGTTTGGATGTTGATGCAGATGTTCATTATGTTTCTGTGTTAGTATAGTAAATACGTGCACAGAGAACGTAAACACACACTAGAGTGAAGTCACGGTGTATGTGTGGCGAACTGTGATAATAAGATATATATTTTTGCTCTTTGCAGAACAAAATAAAAGACTCAAATTAAATGTGTAGTGGAGGGCTACTTCACTCTGTACCACGCTACATATTCACTGAATTTCACTCTGTCTTTAACGGCTCGTCGTTGGAGCTCCAATAGCTCCAGCCCATGGATGTATGGGTAAACCATGCATGTATTCAGAGGGGTAAACACAGTTAAGCAGCCATTCAACAGGACTGCTAAGAGGTAGGTGGTGCAATACTTGTCTCCTTTCCTCGTTATTCGGCGTTTTACATTCAAAATACCTCATATAATTAATTAATGAGGGTCCGATGAGATGTCGGCAATACAGTGGTGGTAAGGGGGTTGAAAGAGCTCTACCTCCGAAATGCTAAGAAATAGAAGCGCTGGTTGGGCTAACGTGAGCAACACAAGCTAATTGGCGTGCGAGTCGTACATCTATGTAATGGTTAGTCAACATATTTTACCCTAAATGCCTTCAACAGCAAGCAGTTTAAATGTTTGTTTATTGTGACTTGTTTCCTTTTGTCAATTGTCTGTCGAGTGTTCCTGCAGTGGTGATCAAAGTTTTAAAATGTTCATGATTTGTATAATAAAAAAGTTTACCAGTAGGCTACTCCCTCACATTATGCAAGATTCGAAGGCTTTGTTGTCATTTGCAGAATAGCTACAGCTTTGTTGTTGGCAATGAAAAGTGAGGAAATGGTGCAAGTAAAATGCATTAATATTATTATTATTATTATTTAACTATCGCCAGGTAAAAATAATTGGATAAAACGAAATGTAATTTTTTTTAATATTATACACAGTGGATATGCAACGGCTTGAGGAATGCAATCATAAAAAGTATCAAAAGTGAGGAAGTTACAGAGTATCCTGGAGTCCTTGTTGAACCTCCACAGCCCGCAGAAGAAGAGCTGGGGCCTGTACTACGAAGCTGGTTCAACCTAACCTGGATATGTTTGAGTTAGCCGGTTGGCCTAATCCAAAACATACGCGCTCTCGCTAAACGGTACTACGACGCGGGTTATCAAGTGGATCGCTCGTGTCCTATCTAGTTAGGTGCGCGTTCACATGAAAGGGGTGGTATCTGGAGCATTCGACCAATCACAAACATGGAGAAGCGTACTGACAGCGCAGCGTCATACTTCCCGAATGAAAAGTGAACTTTAATATTAGACATATGAAGAAGTTAAACTTTAAACATCCATGACTTAAACACTTTATCCAGGATAAAAGCCACATAGCTGCACCTGCAAGGTGAATACAGCTGGTAAAAGAAAAGTGTTTGAATGCATACATTAACAGGTTTATGATATCACTGCCCCGTCTAAAACACGATCTGACTTTAATTACATTTGTCTCGAGTGTTTCGTCAACTTAATGTGTTGCTTAAAATAACACTTCTGCATACAGTATGTGACACTGAGTGTTGCACGTCCATATACGGCTCAGCTGACTCAGATCAGGAGATATATGATACATTATGAATTGATATGCCGCGGACTGTACTTAATGTTACTCTGATCCGGTTACTTATGTTGTGGCAGATATTTAATTAAGCTTTCTTAACGCTAATGTTATAATAGTCAGATTGCTCTGAAGATGGGAGGTGATATTCTATTAATGTTCATGTTCACACAGTCGGTGATTTTTGCCGGCCGTCTTTCCTGCGACGGCAGCTTTTCTGTATTTCCTTTCTCCTGTAATATGACTTGATTGCTTTAAACTCTGCACACTGAGCTCTGATTGGTCAGCAGGCAGTGCTTTCACTGAGTTGAGCTCTTAGCCTGCAACCTAACCTGGTCCCGACCAGGTTAGCCGCTAAGCATAAGTTACCATGGAGATCTAGCCTGCTAAAAAGAGAACCAGCTTCGTAGGACCGGAAACCCCGAGTTTTCCCTGAAGTTAGCTGGCTAAGAGAAAATCCTGCTTTGTAGTATACCCCCCTGCTGTCTTATTGTCTTGGGGATGAAACTTGTGTGATTGGTTTAGTCAGGTCCTCACTGATATGAAATACTGAACAACCTTAAGCTCCTACAAAGGGCGTGTCCCTCTCTCTTTTGCATCCTGTAAGCCAACATCAGCTTCTTGGTTTTGCTAACATTGAGATGGACATTGTTGTCTTGTTTTCTGCACCAATATCTCAGGCCTTTGTCTTTACTCTTGCCATCCATCATAAAACCCAAGAGGGCAGGGAGCATGGGCCTTTTGTACCTCCACAGCCTGGGAGCTCTCAAACCTGCCTACAAGTCTTCCATCTGGGGGGGATGCAGACACCGCCTGAAGGGTGGACAAGGGCGTTATCCATGAAAGGGGAATAAAAATAGTCCAGCATTCTTCCACAGCATGTGGTGTAGCATTTCGTGTTCACCAACACGATTTTTAATCTATTGATTCGTGTTCACCAACACGATTTGCCCCTTTTTTTCGTGTTGCACAGCACGATTTTAAAAGCAATGTATTTCTACTGCCTGCAGCACGTCTTTTTCTCCGGTCGGGTCGAGGAAGACCGGAAGCTGTGTGGTTCATAAAAACATGTTCTTACTCAATATCAAGCCACAGTTATTGCTTTTATTTGAAATCGTATAATTTCTGACTTTTGTTGCCGTCTGTGAGGAAAATAAATGGGGCTCAGAGCCTCAGAATACGGAAATCTGTATTTTTAAATATTTATTTCCTTCTAATTCGATATTCTTTTCAAAATAACACACTGTTATTTACTCACCAATAACACACAATTATCCTTGCTTTTATTTATTGGTTTAATTCCATAATCTCGGGCTTTTTTGGCGTCCGTCAGGAACTGAATTTCAAAATAAAAATAACCGGAAACAGACGTAGGCCTATAAGGGACATTTCGAGCATCATTGCGAAGGTCAACATTTCTGAGTTTAGGATGGCCGAAGACACTACACTACCCATAATCCCCAGCTATCGTTTAGGACTACAGTCCCCGTAAGGTTACGCAGAGCGTCAAACAGCTGTGTGAAATGGAACGAAACCACGCCAGACTATCCAAAACTGGAATCGAACGCCCCCCCAGAACTACACATGCTGGCTATTGTGTTTCGCAAAATGTTCTATGGGACGTCTCTACTGAACGTTTTCGTTTTTCCCACAATTAGAAGTTGCCAGTATTAAACACATTGGTGTTATCAAATGTAAAACATATAATTAATACATGGGTGAAAATCGCTTGTGTCCATAATGCGCAGCATTAATACCCACATGACAGCTCATTGTTACTTTGTAATTCTACTCCACTACAATTCAGAGGTTAACCTGGTATTTTTACTCCACTGTATTTATTTGAGTTACTTTGCTGATTCTGATTAATTATGTGAAATATAAACGACCCTTAAATCAGACTTTAGTAACACCTGAGTAAAATTCAGGTAAGGTGATTGTCAAGTGCCAACAATCAGGAGAGATATTTGATAGTTGGTGCTTGAGAAGACTAAACATGTATCTGCAATTGACATGAATGGAAACGAGTAATAAAGTATATTCATTACTCGTTATTCTCTACTAATAGTTAATTAAAGACTGTATATTATGGCTATTTTGCACATCCCTTTCAAGATTTTCAAAGGTGTATTGACATATCATATACACAACTACGGTGTAGTTATGCAATGAATGAATCTTGGGTCACAGGTTCCTCAACAGTGCATTACAAGACATCTATCAATATGTGTGTACCTCCACCATGAAACTGTCATATTCTGCACATTTCTTATTCTATCTACATACATAAGAGTATAATTCATATGTATAATATCAGTTAAAATAAGTGCTTCAACATAGTTAACATTGCAGGAAAGCAATATATTAGACGTTAAGTACTTTGTCAGGCTTAATATTTATCTGTAGATAGATACCCCCAAAGTTTTTTTCTTATTTAAAAGAAGACCTTAATCTGTTATTTAATGTTTAAATAAAGGTTAATTCGTTTTTCTGTTTTGCACCTCCTCCTATTAATATCTTTGTACATTCTGCACTAAACTGTTTATTGTAGAGATCACTTATAGTATCTTCTTGATTTTTTATATTCTATATTTATACTTTCCCCCTATGAAAGTATGTACTCTTAATATTTTTTTAATCACATAAAACACAATAATTCAATAATGTGCTTTAACCACTAGGTGGTGCACAAAAGGTACACACAGCCATAATAACTTTGTATTATTAGTGTAGGACACTTTTGTTTTCGTACAACATCTGAAAATGTGTAGTTTTATGCATGCTTTCACATAATTTTACAGCATATTGCTATACTATTTCAGACTCAGTATTTACATTCTTACATTCAAAGAAAATCAGTAATATCTTTAAAAACTACAGTCCTTTTATATCAGCTGTGCACCGTTATGGTGTAAATATAACCTATCTGTGAATTAGATCAAATGTAAAAGTCAGCCGAATTAGTGTTGATACTGCAAGGAGACGTATTGTGTGAAGAGAAATTGAAGATGTTGTTTAATTGTTGAATATATTTATGATCCACGTCAAGTATTCAGTTTCGGCGGCATTTTCTCAGTTTTTCCAAAGGTCTTCTCATCAGGGCTCTATAAATAAAGAACTACGGCAGATCTGTAATATGTAATGCAGCCGAACCGTGTATTACAATGCCGTTATGTGATGACTTTCAAAGAGAAAAGCAAGAGCACTCGGAATTAAGTATTTTATTCTTTTAAAATGTTTTCCGGATTTCATATCATATAAACACCAAATCCCAGCATGCATTGCGGCTAAAACATCCAATAAGCGAGCTTAAAACCATAGCTGAGGATCTTGGGTAATCGCTCGAAATGCCTACGTCTGTTTCCGGTTATTTTTATTTTGAAATTCAGTTCCTGACGGACGCCAAAAAAACCCGAGATTATGGAATTAAACCAATAAATAAAAGCAAGGATAATTGTGTGTTATTGGTGAGTAAATAACAGTGTGTTATTTTGAAAAGAATAACAAATTAGAAGGAACAAAAGATTTTAAAAAATACAGATTTCAGTATCCTGAGGCTCTGAGCCCCATTTATTTTCCTCACAGACGGCAACAAAAGTCAGAAATTATACGATTTCAAATAAAAGCAATAACTGTGGCTTGATATTGAGTAAGAACATGTTTTTATGAACCACACAGCTTCCGGTCTTCCTCGACCCGACCGGAGAAAAAGACGTGCTGCAGGCAGTAGAAATACATTGCTTTTAAAATCGTGCTGTGCAACACGAAAAAAAGGGGCAAATCGTGTTGGTGAACACGAATCAATAGATTAAAAATCGTGTTGGTGAACACGAAATGCCGTGAGACTGGGTTGGGTGTAGAGATGCTGGTAGTAATTCCATATATCCACAGTTATATATCATTATACAGTATCTGTTCTGCTGTACAGTCATTTGACACATTTATTCAATCTTACATGTACAAAGTAGTGTTGTCACGATACCAACATTTTGGTTTCGCTCCCGATACCAAGTCAAGAATTGCGATTCCGATTATTTTTCGATACTTTTCTTAAAAAAAGGGAAACAGTCTTAAATGTAATTATTGTGCTTTATTTCACACCAGAACCATAACACAAACTTTTAAACAATGAGAACAATAAATTAAAGAAATGACTAGAATTTGTATTAAATACAGTTCAGCATCATCTATAAACAGCTTTTTTGTTTTTCGCTTCTGGCGTCTTTTTTGTCAACAAGCCGAGGCGCAGCGGCAGTTGCACTCCCACTTGCAGCCATGCTTCTCGCTTTCTCACGTGCAGCTAGCGCGTGCACGAGAGAGGGGAGGGACTTAGAGTGTGCTTGAGAGGGACTGCAGGCACGGCTGCAGTGCAGGGAGTGGAAGTAGAGCGCTGAATACACACGGCTCTTATTAAAACGGCGCTTTCTCACCGGAGTACTTTTCCCCGTCATTCTTAAAGTACCGATACTAATGAAACGGAGGAATCGTAACGTTTTTAACGGCAGGGTATCGCGGTACCTTTCAAGTATCGGTACACCGTGCAACACTAGTACAAAGTTGACTTATTTCTGCATTTTACTTTCAACATTGTATCCCTTGCACTGTTTGTTTTGCACTTTTTTTTACTTCGGTATTTCTTTCATGTCTTAGGCGCTTTCAAGCCGGAGTACTTTTCCCAGGAGTAGTTCCGTTAGTTCCTGGGATTTTGCATTCACACCAAAAAGATCTGGAACTAGAACTTTTTTCGGGAATCTTTTCACCCGTTTTCAGTCCCTGCTAGAGAGGTGGTACTTTCCTGGAGAGGAAAAGGTTCCAATTTCTGAATTGCAAACCACGGCCCGTAAAACTCCGAAAAGTTTTGTGAAGCCGCCATTTTATTTTCTCACATTAGCATTATTAGCATTAGCTTAGCGCACCAACGGAGAGAGACTAACTTATGGCAACACAAAATAAAACGTGGGAGCGGTGGAGTGATGAAGAGGTGTCGGCGCTTCCGGCGATTTACCCTTCTCCTTTAGGTGGCAGTATACGTCGTGAAGTTGTTTGCGGCCTGCCAGTAAACCCAAAGCAGAAGAAGAAGTGACATCAGCATAGGTAGTTGTTAGTTTGGCCTTAACTATAATGTATTGTCTGTTTTGTAAATCTTTCTCGCTCTGCCCATCTTTTGAAGTGTGCTTCTCAGGTACCTGTGTTGCTTTCGTGTATTTAATTTAATTTGACTCGAATCAGACAGTTTGACTGAGAACACAAACAGCGATTGGCCTAATAACTGAAAAGGCAGGAAGTAAGGTTGCATTTCATACATAAACACAGGTTCTGTTAGGAACAAAAACAGTCTGCAGACTTTTAGTCTCTTGGGGTTAAATAACTCACTCAAGGGCAAATCAACTATTGTGGTGAGCTGTTCTGAAGGTTTATGAATTCAGCCAGTGTAGTGCTGGTGGGTTAAAGCCCACTCATGATGACAAGTTGTTCCTGAGACATGCAATGTTCAAACGTTTAGTAACTGGGTAACTCATCATATTATTGCTGAATTATGATCTCTTTGGCCGTTTCTGGGAAGTGAGGGGTTTTGGTTAGTCACCTACGGAGCTTGACAGAGATTTGCATTGTAGCTGAAGATGCCATTCATTAATGCAGTTGGTTGCCAGGTCCCTGCAACCAACATGTGATTTGTTTTTATTTGAGTGGTGGTCTTGTGCTGTTGTTAGGTTTAAGAATTCGTATTGAGTACTGTTTGTTGCTTTTGCTATTGTGATGTAAGGTCACTTTCCAACCATTAACAGCAAGTTTGGTCACTCTCTAATCAGCCATACTTTATATTTAACAGGGTTGAAAAAATGAATAAATGCTTCATGATCCATTATAACATAGTTGCAGACAAAAAAGTAATTTGTTAATTACTAAAAAAGATTAGGTGGCGGTTTGTAAACAAAGCATTAAGAGAGTCTACAGGCTTACTGAGGGTTACAGCAAACTACAAATTCATTTTTATTTTAGGACTAGTCTTTTCCCTATTGGGGTCTTGCCTTTTTATAGAAGTTCAGAAACGTCCCAAAATTAAAATAAAGCAGAGGGCTCTGCAGATAAATACTCCACCAAACTTCCAGTAGGTCATTAGTCATTAAAGGGATTATCTTTTGAGTCCATGAATTGTTCTATAGGGAAGATCCTACTCATTAAGCCTTTCAATTAGTTGCATTCATAATTGTATGTCTTAATGAGTTTAATATACATTTATGATCTAAACCAGTGGTTCTCAAATGGGGGTACGCGGACCACTAGGGGTACGTTGGAGTACTGCAGGGTGTACGTGAGATTTATTTTATGTTAATGAAAAAAAAAACATTTTAAATTTTTTTTAATTTATTCTACTAAAATCATACAAAAACAAAAACGTATAATTCATACACACATGCATTTACACAAACTACTAATAGTAGTTTAACTACTTAATTCAAAGGTTTACAGTAATTCTGGATAATACAATGGGAAAAATAAACGGGTGCTCTCTTTTCCTCTCCTGACAGCCCGTCAGTCTCGTGCAGCTCGCTGAACCTCTAATAAGTGACCGACAGTAAAAAATAAATATAATTAGTTTAGCTAGTTCCAGAGTAGATAAACTAGCTAAGTGTGTTAAGTCTAACTCTTAGTGTATTTTTGCTCGGCTCAACGGTCCGTCACAGCGGCGGAGCTGTGATCATGCAGAGCTGCGTGTTCTCCGTCAGCAGCAGCTGATCGGATCTCTGATCTCTCTCTCTCGCGTCCGGTTAGACTTCACTCGCGTCTATGTCCAAATCTATCAGATCTAGCTAGTTCTAGTTAATGATATGACTGCCTGCTTATCAAAGGACCTAAACAATAAGCGTTGCTTGGCAACGGCGTGTGGCCGCAAAGTATAGCACAGCATTATGCATATGTTTATATGAGGGGTCAAAATCCCATGCTCATAAAAGGCTACTATATTTTTTCTCTTCATTCCCCACGCCCCAAAACAAATAAATAAATATACCAATTTTAGGAAAAGTAAGGAAGTTTGAGCAGTGTGGGTTTTATATTAACAGAGTTTCACATATTTCAAAACGCAGAGTGTAATAACTGCAGTTTGCCTCCCTGTCAGAATGACAAGGATCCTCAGTGAAGCTCAAGCCCATGTTTCACTACATTGTACAACTTCTTAAAAAGATCAGTTCAATGCAACTAATGTCGTCTGTGTTATTGCATGATGTTAAAATTGGTTTGCCATGAATTTAGTGATGGATTGTAAACATTTGAAGTGTAGCATTTAAGTGTTTCTCAGTTACAAGGTTGTTGTTTTAATAAATCAGACACTGATGGTGCAGCGCTGCACTGTACCTCTTTATGCTTTTTTTTCCTTAACAAATAGTTTTTGCGCTGATCAGGGGGTACTTGGCTGCATTTTTTTTTCAAAGGGGGTACATGAGTGAAAAAAGTTTGAGAACCACTGATCTAAACAATGTATCGTACAAATTGCTTAATCTAGAAGAAAAGTAATATTTATTTGGAAAGACTAGCACATTGATGCATGCACAAAAGAGAGACACTACTAAATAAAACAGACTTTTACCTTAATTACAATTTTGGATTTGTCTAAATTTGAATATTCATGTAAACTTTTGGGATACTGATCACACCTAAACAACAAATTAAATATAGGACTAGTGGTTTTTAAACATTATAATGAGATGTTATATCTTTAATAAAGTGTTTCATTTGAAATATTTTCTTAAAAGGCTGCAGTTCAAATTCATTTGGCAGTATGGATCCTCTTTCAGTAACATGTTGTTAACATGTTGTCTCATTAGTGACAGTAACTTTGTGTTTTATGCGTTCCTGTGTGATTATTATACAAGAGTGTGAGCGCACCAGTGTCTTTATACCTCAGTGTATCTTCTCAATCTCTCTCCGCTCTCTGTTTTCCCGACTGGCAGATAAACATGATGGGACATTCCGCCGGTCGTCGTGGAAACGCTGAGAAAGCACAGCTGGGCGGGAGAATATGAGGTAATCTCACCCTGGGGCTACTGGGTAAATATTGGTCTTAAATAAGGAGTAAAACCCCAAAAGAGGCACACACACACACACACACACACACACACACACACAGGGGTTTATCCCCAGTTGAAAACACACAGGACAGACCTTCACACAGAGACTCATAATAGCCCGTTTCCTGCTCTGCTCTGTTATTATTGTTTACACTGAGAGGGAAATTAATGATAGTTTGTGGTAAGTATATGTGAAAGTAAACAGGTTTGACAGAAACAACCTCAGTTTAAAGAGGAAATATCATCAAGAAGCCTGGATGTTCAATTCAGTTATAGTTGGGGTAAGCAGCTTTTGGGAAATTAGCATGAGTAAACTAGATTCTGAAAGTATACACATGGAAAACCCCCCTCACTTCAGGCTTTGTTCTAAAGCCACTACTCCAAAACATTGGGAAGAGTTGGGAAGATAAGTGCAGCACATCCTTGTCATCACTGACCATACTTTTCTACATCATGTCTCTGGAACAAACAAGAAAACAACTCTGTATAGGGACATTTAGTCTGGATAAGACTTTGGTCACGAACAATGAGTTTTATTATGTATGATTGTAGGTAAATGGGCTATATGTACAATATAACAAAAAATGCTTCTAAAAACGAATTCCCTACCCTTGCCTTAAATTGATATAAACATAGCATGAAAAGTAAGGACATTTGAGTTTGGGAGATTACTGTACTATAGATTTGCAGTCAAGGTTTGCCGGACGATATGGCCGACGGCTCTCTGCCCAGACAATCCAGACCAAACTGCACGCAACCAATCTCATCTCATAGGGCTGCCAGGAGGCTGCTATAACTGCGCTTAAATTAATAAATTGTTAAATTACCAATATGTCTGTTTAGTCAGACTTCAATCATCCAATCCACCAAACAAGAATCAACAGCAAAAAAAAGCTGTTTGGCATTGGCAGAGAACATTTGACACATTTTTCATTGGCGTAACCCACAGCTCTGGTTTAAACCTCTGGGGATCATGAATATCTGTATCTAATATCAAGGTATGCCATTCAATGTAGATCGAAGATAAGTACTGCAGATTGTTGATCAAGACAAACAAATGCAATGTAGCACTTCAGTCCATAAACGCATTATTTTACAGCTCATAGCAGAAATACACTCTTGACACTAAACCCCTTGTGGAATCAGCACTAGATAGTTGTTAGTTTGGCCTTGACTGTAATGTATTGTCTTTCATACTGTTTTGTAAATCTTTCTCGCTCTGCCCATCTTTTTAAAGTGTGCTTCTCAGGTACCTGTGTTGCTAAAGTTGTGGTTGGGTGTTGGAGGCGCGGTTGGCAGTATGAAGATTGTATGTTACAATTGTTGGTTTTCTTTAAAATAGGGTACCATATGTCTTTTGTTGTTCATTACTCATTGGTTTTTTGTTTTTGTTTGAGATGGGGTTGGTTTGTTATGCCGGTGGCCCTAGGGACACTGACTTTAAGGGGGGGGGGGGGGGGGGTGACGACCCCTGCTTTACTGTCTCCTGTGGTGTGTGTGTATGGCTCTTTAATGTTCTCCCTCTGTTTGTGTCAGTGCTGATTGAGCACACCTGGCTGCTGGCACCGGAGGATTGAAAGGCCTGAGCCAGAGTCTCGATCACTCTCTCCGCGGAGGACCTGTTCTGGGAGCGGCCACTCTCTCTTATACTTTTGCCTTGCCTTTATGTTAGTGTTGGTTCCCGTTGAGTTCTGGTTAATAAATATATTTTCTTATATATATTCTTGTCCTTTCCACACTTTTTGTTATGGCCAAGAGCCAGGCGTGAAAGCGCCTATTGTGTCTTACAAACTTGGCAGGCCGGATTGGCAGGATTAGATTTCCTAACAACTACACTAGCTTTTGTGCATATGACACTAAAACCTTTGAATTAAAGCATGTTTTTGAATGCAACAACTTGTGCCATTACATTATTTTTAGTAAGTAATGCAAGCCCCAATAATTGAAATAACTTAATAACAGAATGTTTTCTTTGAAATGAATTTTATTCAAAACATAATGCAAGTTATTGAAAGAAGTTAATATTATTAAGCACACTGAGCAGTGCAGCTGCAGGCGAGGTGGGCTTCTGCTGTTTCCCTCAGGTCCACGCTCTTATCATAGATATTCTCGGGGCAATTCTGGGCAGCATCTGCACAAGGGAAAAAAGGGGAACAATCAGTAACTGTGTATTTTTACTTATTATTTAAATAGAACCAACTGTGACTTCTTTGCAAGACTCACCAGCAGGCAGGCAGTGGTAGCCAACAGTGACAGAGGTGGACTTCACAGGGAAGCAGCCGGGCAGGCAGCGCAGCACAGGATCAACAGAGAAGCATTTAGATTCCTGGCCATGGATGTTTATCTGACTTTCCAGCTGCACAGATTCAAGCTTCATGCGGCACTCTGAGAGAGAACAAGGGTGATTGGTGAGTTTCTGTAGGACTCAGTGCATCGTGCATGTTTAAAAGATCAGCTCTCACAATTAACAAATGTTTTACTATTGTTTTATATCAGTGCAAAAGGATGTTGCTGTAAAACTAATTTCACAATGAACTTTAGGTCTAACCGTTGGTGTCCCCGCAGCTCTCGGCTGCGAGAACCCAGGAATGAGCGAAGCTGACTGCGCTCTTTGTCAAGCGTCCGTTGGGTGTGCGGTACTCCTGTCTGATTTCTCCGTCAGACTTTCCACAAAGTCCACAGGTCTGTCCCTTCATCCAGTCCACAACTTTAATCTGCATTGCAAGATCATATTAGACATGGCAATCAGTTTTAAGAATTGCACATTAGTTATAGAACAAAGAAACAACTTTGGATTTACATGAATAGATCTTTCAATGTTATGTATTTTTATTAAATTGTTCCTAGTTAGTGTTTCATTTACCTTCCATGAGTTCTTGCTAAAGTAGACTTCATGTAGACCAAGACTGGGAGCGAACACAGAGATACCTTCATCCTTATGCTTGATCTGGATTGGAGCTGTAAGCAAGTAACAGTTTCATAGTCATATCTTCAACCTTATTTTACACCAGTAAAAGATGTTAAGGGGGACATTAATGTGTATAGAAACCTGTGGGATGCTTGTATGGCAGGTTGTTGTTGGGTATTTCCATTCCATTGACCTTCACAATCACTTCACTGTTCTTATGGTACAGGTCAATATCGCTGCAAGTGGAAAAAGGAAAATCCTGTTTAGTTTTGTCCATTTGTGGACAGTTTTTGTGTTTGTTTTTTAATGGATACTCACATATCAGCGATTTTCACGTTGATGTAGTTCTGTTCAACATTATCCTTCTTCAGCAGAACCATGAATTTAAGCTCTTTGGTACAATCCTGTGCCAGAACTTGGTAGCAAGACTGGGGCATCTCGTTCTTGTATCTTTTGTTGTTGAATGTGGTCAATACGTTGTTGGCAAAGCTACATTCAGCTGCTGAGAATTTAAAAAATGATTTAATTATTATCATGAGCCAAAGGTAACTGTCAGTGCATTTCATTTTAAACACTAAGGTCATTCATTACCTGTGCCAGCCTCGGCAAGGATGTAGTTGACATTATCAATAACCTCATCGAAGGGGGTAAGATCCTTGATTTTTTCAAGTGGCAGAGCCATTGGAAGATGCAGGTCCAGCTTATAGACAGTACACTGTAGACAGAATAATTCATAGTTACTAGTAAATAAATCTCAAACCAAACATGACCTTATATATTGGAAGAAGCACATAATTATTCTTACTGTTGGTGCTTTCAAAATGAGTTCAATAGTTTTGGAAGATGTGGCAACCACTGTTAAGGATAGCTGATTGACGCTCGTTTCATCCTTTCCTTTGATCACGCCAGCTGGTGCAGGAATGTAGTTATAAACCCTGTGAATTATTTTCCAAATATCAGATATTTAAAATAGTGTATATTGCATGTGAATAGTGTAAAGGCAGTGTGTATGAGGGTTCATACTTCTTTGCATAGCGTTTAAGGGCAGAAGGCAGTTCTTTCCAGGTCGCTCTGAGGCGAGCTGCAGGGCTTTTTCCAAGAAGACCTGTCTCGGCTGTGATCGTTGTGTTGTACTGCTTGCATTGTGCTCCCCAGCCGATTTTAGCCTATTCAGAAACAGCAGATGTGAAGTTAAGGCAGCTGGTTTTAACAGTTACCTTGTTATATTATGCCCTATTATCTATTCAATAAGCGAGTGTCTTACTGTGGCTTTGTGTTTGCTAAGAAGAACTCCATCAGCACAGAGCTTCCAGTTGTCATCGGCAGCCAAGGCAGCCAGAACAATCTGAAGTCTGGAGGTAGGTCTGTCCAAGTAGCCTGCCAGTTCGTATCCAATCTCCCTCTTGTCGACTTTGATGACATGGGCGATGATTGCAAAGATAGGAGCAAGATGTTTGGCAAGGGATTTGTTCTGTGGGATCAATCAGGGTTGAATAATTTGAGTACAACAACAAACCAATCAGTAAATCAATAAGAAGAAGGATTATCTAATTTAATATATGACCAAGATTTACCTGTGTGGTGATGGCCTCAAAGCTTGAGGCACTGCTTCTGCTTGTGGAAACGGCAGATGCTTGAGATTTGAGAGTCTGCAATGATAATGTACAGAAGTCCACCATGAGAAAGCTTCAACAGAAGTTAACATGTTCAAACTGTACAATATATTGTCATGGTTTGAAGCACCATCCAAACATACCTGCAACTTGTGGTTCTTCTGGAACTTGCGAGCAATCAGTCGCTGTTTAAAAGGAACATTTTGTTAGATTCCAGACTTACTTTCATATGTAGTCACCTTTAGATTCTACCATGTTTACCTTTGAGATAAGAGCACTGGAGCTGGAGGAGCTTGAGCTAGCACTAAAGAGTGATGCAAGGTTAGATGCCGAGCTGGTTTTGCTCACAGATTTGGAGGCCCTGCTGCTGCTGCTGTTGCTGCTGCCAAATCTATTGGCTGGATCAGCTGATGTAACACGAGAGGAGGAGCTGGAGCTAGAAGAGGAAGATGATTTGACCTTCTGACCAGGGACCAGGAGTTTCTTCAGCTTCATCATAAGTGATTGTTCTTCAAGAATGTCTTCACTCAGGTTGATCTGTTTAACAAGCATGTCTGCAGCCTTTGGTCCAATCTGAACCTTAAGTTCCACTCGCTCAATGGCCTCTCCTTCAACTGAAAGTATCATTAGATCATATATTAATGATTGCTTTATGCACACTGCTTCTACAAAATGCTGTAAGGACTGATTCTATAATACTTACTTGGTTTTAAGGAGAGAGCAGCAGAGTGCTTTCCAACCAGTTTGTACAAAATAGCAGCCTGGAGGGAAGCAGCATTCTCAGTGGCAACCCTCAAACATCCCTTCACTCCAAGGGCAACAGCTTTAGCACAATACTTCTTCTCAAACTGCACTGCTTTGGGTGTAATGAAGGGGGGTTCGACCTCCTGGCTAAGGATCTCTGAAGACTTTGACTATGAAAAGAAAGAAATGTTAACTATGTTGTAAATGTAGATATTTGTTTTGGTATCATTAAAGACAATGTTTAAAGCTCACCAAACTAGCAGAAGCAGATGAAACACGCTTAGAAACGGGCGGCAAGAGTTTGGCAGGGATGATGGGGATGATTCTTTCAGCAGCATGATCCTCCATATTTCTTAACACAGCTAAAGCCTCAACTCTGTTGATTGAAAAACAAAAACGTAATCAAATATATTCCTTAGATAAATACATCATAGGAGTCACAGGACTTTAATATTTTCCAGGGTATACATTAAGCTCAAAATGTTGGGCTTACTGAAGAGTTGCAATGTTTTCAGGCACAGAAACGGGCAGAGCTTTAATCATAAATTGGCCCTCGGTGAGGTTGAGTCTTGCGGTGATTTTGGCTGGGAGAATGGAGTTGAGTTTAGCTCTGGACATCACATTAGCCTGGAGTAAGAGGGCGTTTATTCCCATCACAGCAAATGTGTTCAAAGCAATGCTGGAAGAAGAGGACATTGGGATGTTATACAGTATAATGTGTTATATTTTGGACGCGCTACTTTAAAAAAAGTTAGATTGAACCTACCTTGGTTTGACCTCAGTCTCAAGCTGTATGTCAGTCTTCAGAAGGTGAGCAAGATGGAAGTTTTCTGGCAGAGCTGGTGTTGTGATGGCCTTGACTGAGAAAACAAATAAAAAGGTTCAACACCACTATAATTGGACCCAAGATAACCTTGACTTTTTATGGCTGTATCAGGAATAAAAAATGTTTTCAATCTAGAGCAAATCAGCACCTTTTTTGATTGGCAAACTAGACTTGAGTAAATATGTGGGACTTGATCACCTTGAACAGATGCAGCAGCCACGACAGCGGTGTAAAGACTGAGCTCCATTGGAAGACCTGCAGAAGTTGGCAGGATACGCCTCACTTCAGTGACAAGCAGGGGCTTAGCGAAGTTCATGGAAGTACCAGCCAGCAGAGCCTTGAGAGCGTTCATACCCAATTCCTTCATAGAGGGTGCATTGGCAAGCTGTAGGGAAACAATTATCATAGTTATTGTGATAAACAATTGGTTTGGAAACGTAATCTTGAGATTGACAAATAGTCATTTGAAAAATACCGCAATGGCCTTGTCAATCAAAACTTTGTCGATGTTGGCGAAGGCAATTTCTTGTCCGAAGAATTTGACATAGACGGATGCCAGAGGTGCACTGTTGGGCTGAGCCTTCCACTGAGAAAGCTGTAAAAAGACAAGTCTGGTGTGTTATGTTTTGTTATGTTCCATGTTTGCTATTACATATTTGCAACTTCCTGATGTTTAATTGCTTACAGCCTTAATAACACGCTTCATCTTGGTGATCCTGTCAACATTGTCAACGAGTTCAGGGTTTTTCAGAAGAACCTCCTGGAGTCCCTCAGTTCTAACTCTAACCTAGGAAAAAAATCAAAATGTTGAAAAGTTTTTTTAAAATTTGTATTAAAAGACCAAGTATGTAGATTAGAGGCTATGTTTTTTTCTTATTTTACCTCCAGAATATCAGCAGAAGCTCCAGCAAGGTAGGCAGTGGTTTTAGCCATCAAGGATCTGGGCAGAATGGTGGCAGCATCATTGATGTAGAAAGCGCTGGCAGCAGCACCAAGCATTAAGGGATCTGTAAATGTTCGACAAAATGCAGTTAGTTGATGTTCCAGAAAAAATGGGGGATAAGGGGGGTGTGACATAGCATATGAGATGAGCCTTACTGTTATAGACATCCATGTAGATGGATTTGCTGAAACATAGGCTCAGTCTGTTTAGCCTTGGGCTCAAGAGCTTCATGGCGACGTTGCAAGCTGCAGCACTAAAATGACACCAGAGAGAGTAGCTGAGTAACATAATTAATGGATATAGACTTGATGATGAATTGGGATCATTAAGTGCTCTTACACTGTGGCATGGATAGTGCTCCTCGTCAGGGACTTCATGTGAGAATAAGTGAAGCTTGCCACTTGCAGATTCTGCTCTGTCTTCACAATATTGGCAAGAGTTGTCACCAAACCCATTGGAGGCCTTGTCTCAAACAGCACAATGCATGCAAGCATACGAAGCTCTGGGTGAAGAGCCTTGTCCATGTAAAGCTGAATGGCCAATTCTTGAACCTGTTTTACACGAGAAAGCAAAGTCATTTTCATGTTATGTGTAAAAACTAGAACATTTTAAATTCTCTTTGGTATTTAGTATTTACCGCTCTAGGCTCCTTCTTTGCAATGTTCCTCAGGGCCAGGATGGCATCAGCGTGGACTCTCATGGGCAGAGATGTAGCTGCAGTGCCATGAATGGGCAGGACCTTTGTGATGGACTTAAGGCTAGTAGGATGGGCAGCGTTTCCCAAAACCTTCAGGAGCAGGATGATGTCCTGGATCTCATTTTTAGTAACAGCCTCTGTAAGGAGCTCTTGGATGGGCTGACGAAAGGGAAAGGAGACATTTAGAACTTGATTCATCATTTAGAAATGTGCAGAAGAGTAATATGTCAAGACAAACATTTGTTCACCTTAATAAGTTCAGCAGGGCAGACAGCCATCTCAACACAGTATTTTGCAATCATGGTACCATATCCAAGGAAGACGATCTCACGCAGAATTGGGTTTTCCACTATCTTCTTGTTGACTGTCATTGCCTAAAAGAAAGCAACAATCAGAAATGTTTCATACCTCAATTCTTATTACAACAAAGTATTTTGCTTTGTCAGGTACTTACCTGGATGATCTTGATGGCCTCAGTGTTTGCTGTCACCATGTGAACAGATGCAATCAAAGCCTGAGCAGTTTCAGCAACAGACAAGTCACCAGTTATGTATTTATCCTTGATGAATTTCAGAGCGGCAGGAGTTCCAGTGGCAGGGATTGCATCCATGACCCACTGTCTGGAAGAGGACAATGGATTGAGTGAACCTGTTTCCATATATTTTCTTAAATGTAATTAAAATGTTCAAACACTTAAAGTCACCTGTAGGCAGGTTTGGTTCTGTATTGGCTATAGAGTATTTCCAGGTCTGCAAAAGGTGCATTACGGAGGAGCTGAATGAGTTCCAAAAACTTCAGAGGTGCATCTTCATGGACTCTCTCAACGTTGTGGGCAACCAGATGATTCAGAGCTTCCACAATCTAAGAACAGGTAATTGAAGGTGGATTAGTTATATATGGAATAGATTCAGATATTTATTTAATATATTCTAAACCAGTCTGAGACTTTACCTGAGCCTTGACGTTGGTGATCTTGATGAGCTGAATGGGTGTCTGAAGAAGCTCATTGGAGAACTCGTACTTGAGAGATCCACAGGGAAGATACTGAACCGCGAGGGCTACAATAGGGGCTCTCTGAATCTCAAGGAAGATCAAGGATTGCCTTGAAAGTAATGCAGCTCCATTAGAACAAAAACGTGGCCATTACTCCATCCTTCTTAGTACACTATCAGCTGACTTACTTTGTCTCCATCTGAGCAGCTCCATTCATTTCAGTGAAAGGTGAGAACTGGATCACTTCATTGACTGTTGCCTCCAGGATCAGGGTGCCGTTAGCAACTGGCTTCAAGACGTAATTGTATGCTGTAGCTCCTCTCAGGTTCTTTGAATCCTGTGAAGACAAACCACATAGTTGCTCAGTAATGCAACGTTTTCTACTTTTATAGATGAATGCGTGACACAAAATTAGTTTTAACCTACCTGCTGACACTTTACACATTTCTCAGTGTATGCCAATCCTATATCCATCATCACCCTCTCCTTACAGTGGTTCAGGTCCCTGGTCTTTGACAAATGGATGCGTTCAGACTTTTCGTCTTCACTGATGGCATAAAGGGTCTTGCACACACCCTGAGTTCCAGCCTTAAAAGAAGAGTGTACGTTTACTAGAGAGATTCAACTTCCTATAATGCATTTCGTATCAGTTCTGAAGGATCTTTGACAAACCTCCTGCATCTCATAGACATTCTGTGTCCTCTTGATGTTGAGCTGAAGAACATTCAGGATACCTCTGTAGACGTTCAGCACCATTGTTGAGATTCCCTCAGGGGCAAAGATTTTTCCAACAACACCATTGGCATACTCAAACTTGACGGGAGTCGAGAGCTGAGCGGCCAGGGCTGCGGTCACCTTTGGTGCTGGGACTAAAAGATCCTTGGGCCAGACACCACTGAACTCAGCGATCTCTGGTTCAGCAAGCTAGAGTGTAAAAATACGATTTATTACAGGACAAATTGCATTTTAAAACTGAGAGGATTGTTGCGTGCAACTGATTTTATTGTTTACCTTCAGCATGAATGTATTTTGACCTGCTGCACTGAGGAGAACTTTGCTGCTGATTTTGAGTCCGGCTCTTGCCAAACCTTGATCCGGAAGACCGCCCAGGAGCAGTGTCTCATATTTGTAGACATAAGTCTTACCGGCAGCAAAATCAGGAGCTGTAAGAACAATTTATATCACTTCATATTAACCATCATTTATCAAGTAGATTATTCCTGTGGAAATGTAGTTGTGGTGAATGTTGCAATGCATTGTGCATCCAGGTATTTATAGGTAGAAGCTGTATTTTACTGATAATAATAAATGAATTGACTTACCATAGTTTTGGGGCTGAGCAGCTGAAATCAGATAAAAAATATATTAATAATCCAGCAAGAACATTGTGAAACTATTAAATCTACTAATTTACAATGCAATTGTTTTTATTGTTCATATAATATAATAACAGCAATACATTTTAAGGTAGGGTTGAAAGCAGGACATATTTTGATTTCACTGTATTTAAACATCCAGATACTGTGTATTTTTCTTATAAATGTACATGATAATTTCAGGTGTTCTTATCTTGTTACTCTGATACTGATATTTTAATCTCTTATTCTTTATAATATTAATAGATAGTCTTTTATGTTCTGGTCCCTTGATTTTTTTTAAAGTTCAATATAACATTATATTCTATTTTATATTATAATATAGCAATCTCTCACATCCTAATTTGACTTTTAAAAGCAGGATCACTGGAACTATCAACCAGTAAGCCTGTAGTGTAACATACAAGCATCAAATATACAATGGCGTATAATGAATATGATCAAATTAAGAAGGCAATTTGATGCTAAAGAAAATCAGACAGAAAAGTAGTACTGAAATCTCAGAAATTCAAGTTATAAAATATGTTTAAATGTTTTAAAGGTCACCTATTATGCAAAATTGTTTTTTGTCTCTGTCAAAGTTATTTGCTGTTTCTGATAAAAACTTCATTTTCTTTTAAATGTGAAATGTTCTCAAAATCAGAGATAATACTCACCCACGAAGGCCAAGGTCAGGGCAAGCACAATCACTCTCATGGCTGATGGATTGTGAATCTTTGCAGTGAATGCCTGTCTTTTATAGTTCACACTTCTGGATAGCTGAGGTAGGATATGAACCCTGCCAAGTTTGATTGATACAGCCAATCCGATCCTCCTATTAAATCACTGGTTTGGGAGGGGAGTGCTACAGGTTGTGTATCAGTAAATGAAAAGTTAGGGGCACCTGACCTTTTTCTAGCATATGCGAAGTCAAAAGTTAAGTGTCGTGTTTCAAACAGTTTGCTGTTTATTTTATATAACAGTTGATGTTTTTTGTTTTCTGACAATAAGTCGTACTTTTTTAAACATTTCAGTTTTTTGCTGTATATGTAAATGTTTGGTAAATATAAAAAATATAACAGAATAACATAGAAAAAGGCAAACCATTTCTCAAAAGAAATGTATTGTTTATAGGTTTAATTAAGTAAACTTAGATTTTTCGTTAATCCAAGGATCCTTTATTTTATTTAATGTTTCGTACTGATGTAATTTGCTTTAGGTGTTGGCTGAGATCTTTTTTGTCTTAACTTATTCATATTTTTTGAGGCAGTTAAAAAAAAAGAGATTCCTGGCTGCATCGACTTTGCTTCGAAGTTTAACCCTCACAGGGCATCATGACTATGGATGTTTGCTTAGTTTGTTTGTTGTAGTCAGGGTGACATTTCAATGACATTTCAGCAGATATTGCAGATACTGCGTGCTTGACACCGTTTCAACTGTGAGATGGAAGCATTTTAAATATGAATTACTAAAGGTGTTTTAATCTGGACACTGGTGATTTGATTTTTACAGATTTTTACAGTAATTCCAATCAACAGTAAACCATTAATCATGTTATTGATTGTTTTACTTGTAAAACAATGATCCAGAAAAACACCAAGGATAAGATTCCAGCTGTTGTTGTTGGGAATAGGGTGTTTTGTTGCCTTTTGCCCAGTACAAACAAAAAGTGAATCACCAATTTGATTCTTTAAGACTGAAAGTGTATAAAAATAAAGGTATAATGGGCCGTTACAAAAGATCTCACCCTATCTATAAAAGTGTTTAGCATTTTAGATACGTTTCAGAAAGGGTACCTATATTTCAATTATTTCTTAGACATGATCTTAGTTGATCTACAATATACCACCATTACACTAATATTCTACTTGACTGTATATATCAAATCAAACAAGTTTTAAAATTGTACTTAATAATCTATAATCTTCATGTCATCCCCCTCCTTCTCCCCCTTTTCTGTCTATCTTTTCCTCTGCCATAATTTAAGGAGGAAAAGCCTAGGAAAATATTTTTTAACAAGGTACAACATTTTTTTCATCCATGCTCACTTTTAATTAATTTGTTCATAATCTCAATACAAACAACTCGGTATGTAAACACATTTACATATGTAAAACATTTTGTATATACTGCTTATGAATGCCAAATATAGTGGGACTTCAAGTGTTGACTGTTAAAGTTTAGATATGTGTAGCCTTTATTTAACCAGGTGAAAATCCCATTGAGATCAACGATCTCTTTTTCAAGGGAAACCTGCAGCACATTGGTTACACATAAAAACAACAGAAAACAAAAAGGACATCAATACAACATAATTACAGGGGTATACATTAGCAACCAATTCACAATGACAGATATCTAATAACATTTCATCTATCTGAGATTTAAAATGATGCAAGGGAACCAAAATGCTCAGTTTCAGTTTTTTTTGCATAGTGTTCCAAGCTAGAGGAGCAGCACACATAAAAGCTTTAGTACCTAAAACAGTCCTAGCACTTGGCACATGTAATAAAAACACATCCTTGGATCTCAGGCAATATATACTTGCCACTCTCTGTGAGATCAAAGAACATATAAGTTGGTAGTTTACCCAACATGGCTTTATAGATAAACATGTACCAATGACTGAGCCTCCATACAGTTAGTGAAGGCAGACAGGGTACAGTGATGAGTATGTGCTTTACAGTTCGTAACAAATCTCAGTGCACTCTGTGATAGCATCTAACTTTTCCAGGCAATGGGCAGGTGCATTCATATAGATCAAATCACCATAGTCCAGCACAGGTAAAAAGGTCAGTGACTAGCCTTTTCCTGGCTTCAAAAGAGAAACAGGACTTGTTTCTGAAAAAGAAACCTAGTCTAACCCTCAGCTTTTTAAGCAGGTTATTGACATGAAGTTTAAAAGTAAGACAATCATCAAGCCAGATACCAAGGTATTTATAACAGGCAACCACTTCAAGTACTTGTCCTTGCATAGTAACAATATCCAAAGCAGTCTCTGGAGTCTTTTTAGCTTTTGAAAATAGCATTACCTTGGTTTTATCAACATTTAAAATAAGCTTAAGTTCAGCGAACTGAGTCTGAATAATGTTAAAACAGCCTGTAATTTAACACCAGCCTCCTTAAATGAGGGACCTGCACAGTACATCACGGTATCATCCGCATAAAAATGTAAAGTAGCTTCATCCACATTTTCACCTAAACTGTTGATATATATGGAGAATAAAAGTGGACCTAAAACAGAACCTTGAAGAACACCATTAGCAATGTTCAACCACTCAGAAGTGAGCCCATCAAAGTGAACACATTGGGACCTTTCAGAGAGTTAGTTCACAAACCATCCCACTGCATGGCTGGATATGCCAATACTGAGAAGCCTCTGCTTTAAGATGCGATGATCGACGGTATTAAACGCTTTGGAAAGGTCAATAAATAGAGCTGCACAACTCTACTTATTATCTAAAATACTCGTAATGTCATGAACTAGTCCTAACGTTTTTTTATGTATTTGTCAACAACCTGAGGCACACAAAGAGACACAAAAAGGCAGTTGCACCGTGTATCTTCTGGTGACTTTTGGAAATAAAACCTGTTATGCGTGCATATGTTCACCTATACCTGTGTTCCAATACATGTGTGTATTTGTACTGCAATTGTGTGTGTATTCAAAACAAAAATACAAATAAACAATCGCGTGGAAAACTGAATTTCCCCTGGGGCATCAATAAAGATGCATTTTATCTTATTTTAAATGGGCAGGCCCTTTCTATTTGTCTAATCTCCTTAAAACCTATTCTCATTAAGGACAGTCCACTCTTAGAATACAGTCAGCAGCCAACAGGGCTTTTTCATATTGTGCTCTTCCTTGAGAATAATCTTGCCATGGACATTAACAGTCTGAAAGGATAATTGTTTTGCCTTAACTTTAATTAGTTGCTCATTCTTTCATTATTTGGCTAGCGTCTCAGTCTCAATTAACTATCTAGGACTAGTAGACCTTCCGAAAAAAATAATGATATAAGGTAAAAGTCACTGTTTCTCAATACCTTTACTGTTTTGTGTCCCCCAAGCGCTGCGGTTTGACTCCTTATCATCATCAGCTTGGTCCATTTAAAAAAAAGACATACAACACTCAAATATAAATTAAAAAAGGCAGTTATACCAATGTTTCCACAGAGGTGACTGGTATCGTACAGCACTGAGACACGGATTTGAAAGCAGCATAATGACAGAGTTATGAGAAACATTCAATCGACAGATGAATTTGTACATCAGATTTCTCAAGAGAACATGGAACGTGTTGACTCGTGCATTACAAAACATTTCACTTGCACTGCACCACCTTGGTTTTCTAAGCAGTATACGCAAACAATCATTATAAGCAACCTGGAGCTTCTGGAGGCTCGCCTTCTTAAACTTGACCCACAAGGGGGCAGTATAAAGAGGAGTACAATAAGCTCTAAAGAGGTTCACCTTAACCTTATCTCAACACCAAGATAATTTTCTAGCCAACATGTTAGCTTGTAAGACACGCCGCTGTCTATGTCATCATCATCAGCCATTTCAGCTGTAATGATGTGTCCCAGATACATAGTTTTACAGCAAACAGACAGCACCTGCCCTGGCAGGTAGAATATTGGAAAACCAAGGTTCTTATCCCCTTTTGCTCTGCAGATCATTACAGCACTCTTCTTAGCATTGGATTTAAATCAAATGTGCCCTAGACGAGATTTAGCTGGCTGGAGATTTTTTTATCTCTCCAGTTTTAAACGATATTTTTGGTTTACTGTCCTATAGTATATATTGAAATGATTTCAAACCTGTTCATCCCAATATTTATAAAGGAGTGCCTTGGAAATATGTGTTTACATAAATTGTGATCAAAACGTTTGAGACCCACTGAGATAACTTAGACCAGGGGTTTTCAAAGTGTGGGAAGGTGAGCCTCCCCTCAGAGAACACAAGAACAGCCGCCTCCCAATTATTATTATTATTATTGCTATTATTATTATTATTATTGCTGTTGTTGTTGCTATTTGCAGGGGTATTATTATTATCATTACCAGTGGAATGCCCTTAAATACTGGCCTAGTAAATCAAAGTGATTACTTTTTTTTGGCTGGGCAGTGTAGTTTTACACAACGTCTTATTTGACTTTCTCAGGACTTAAAACTGTTTTTTGGGGGCAGACCCCCACAAAGAAAAATATATATTTACACACGTAAGGTCATCATCTTAACAGTTTGTTATGCTCATCGAGTCATCCGTGAGCAGAGCATCAAGTTGGCATGCCTATAACAGCTGAATGCAGCGATTACCATCTTGTTCAGCAAAACGCCTCACAAACTTATTAAGATCTAAAGCTTTAGTGCGTTTTGATCAGCGACGTGCAGTCAGGGGAGGCAGGGGAGGCAGAGCCCCACCTGTCATACTCCAATGTAACGGAAAAACAACTAAAGAAAAACTCAATATTAATAATAATAAAATGTCTCCACTGATCTGTGTTGTAAATGTGATTTATGTATGATTCCAATCGCTTTTTATAGTCAAAATCAGCAAATTGGCCGAGCTCCGCTACAACTAGGCCTACATGGGAGCGATGAGGAGTGAGGCAGGGACGAGCTCTGCCTCACGTAAGCCCACAGTAACTGGCTGGAGCGCGGGCACTAATGTAGCGTGGGCACTTATTTTGTGAGCGCGCTCAAGCCAGTTACTGT